ATGTTAGAGCAACAAATTGGTGCTGGCAGTGTTCAAAACATAATGGAGCATTATGCCGAAACTTCACAGCAAACTTTAAGTGTAAGTCTGAAAATCTTTATGAGTTAATGGAAAAAATTTCATAAAAATAAATTGTTAAAACGACATTGAGTTTATTGCAGCAATTAATATATTCTGCATATTTAAAACATCTTCTAATTTCTAATGCTAATTTCTAAGCTTTTATAATGCATTTTAATCATGCTAATTTCTAAGCTTTTATAATGCATTTTAATCATACTTAACTCTAGTTAAATTTATATTTTATTTGATAATAAAATAAATTTTAATATTAATATTGCTTCAGATCAAATTTTTAGATTTTTTTCTCTAACAAAATTTTCTATTCTTTTATTTAGGATTTTAAATATAAAAGAAGAATAACTCATTTGGAGTATGAACTTCAAATTGCTAATAGTAAATTCAACGAATACGAGTCAGTAATAAATAGCATGGAACAGGATATGTTAAACATTCAGAGAGCTTGGTGTCCACAACAGGAACATCAAACTCGAATTACTATACCAAATTTTGAGACAAAATCTATTCAAGTAACGATAGAAACTCAAGTAGTTAGTGTTCAAACAGATCCTTACATTTGCTGCTTAAATAAAAAAGTAGACGAAACCGCTAAGGAAACTGATAAGGAAACCAATAAGGAAACCAATAAGGAAATCAATAAGGAAACCAATAAGAAAACCGTAATTTTTCAAGATATTCAAGAACCTATTAAATCAAGTGAACTTATTAAATCAAGTGAAACTACAGAAAAAACATTCCGAGAAGTGGGAAATAATACAGAAGAAAGTAATCCAAGCTCAATGCTTAACGAACAGTTGGATCAAGCATTGAAACTTGCATCGGAACACTCCGCAATGCTTGTCAAGTGTGAATCACAATTATCCGAGTACAAATCAAAAGTAGATGCTCTGAATAAAGTGATTACGGAAAAAGATTCGCAGTATCAAGCAAAACTAGATACTTTGAATAAAGCAATTGAGGAAAAAGATTCACACCTTGCTCAAAAACAAAATGTACTTGACGAGTTAATGACTCAACCTCGAGTTGCAAGTACTGATTGTGCTTTAAAGTCGACGATAAATAGTTTACAGAAATTAATTAATCAAAAAGAAGAAACTATTTTAAGATATCAAAATTTATTAAAAGAAGACAGGGATGAGCATAGTCGGGCAGCAAGTCGTTTTCAGGAAGAGATTAAGAATTTACATGATCATATATTAGCTATGCAAGGTAAAATCCAAAAAAGTGAAGATTCGGTCATAACTATAAAAAATGTTTTTGAAAAACCATCGACGTTTGATGAAACTACAGCAAGAAGCAGTGTTGTACAAGAAGAGGAAATTGCGAGGCTGCATGAGAAAGTATCCACTTTCGAAGCAGAATTAAATATTAGCAAAGAACTGAGTGAGCGTTGGCATCGATTAGCAGAAGAAAGGCTGAAACATATGGATTGTATGAGAGAAAGGTTTGTTTGATAACAATGTAAAATATTGTTTTTTTTTTAATTTGATTAAATTTATAATTTAATTTCAAATGATGATAAACGATTAATAAAATAATAAATTTACATGAGAACTAGCTCTTTGAATGACACAAAGATAATTTATGTTTTATAGATTAGAGCAACAACATAAAAATGAATTAGAGAGCTACCGCGATGAATTAAATAAATGGCATTCTGAGGCTGATGTACTTAGACAACAATTATCTGAGAATCGCATGTTACTCACAAAAGGAAATATCTCCCTGATGAAAGAGTTACAAGACAAAGATGACAAAATACATGAGTTAACTCTTGTTTGTCAACAATTACAAGTAATTTTTCAGATTTATTAACTACTGTTTTGTTAATTTATTAAAATTATATTTTAGTCTATTAAATTTATTTAATAGATTTATCTGTTGCATTATTCAATCTATTTATCTATTGCGTAGAATGAAGTTGAACTAATAGAATCTGCAAATCGATCTCATCAAGTGATGATTCATACTCGAGGCGATATGAAGATACACGAATCCATGCACAATAATCAGCGCGATCAAATACAACAAAATCAAATGGACGTTTTACGTCGACAACTTCAATCTTTAATGGAAAAAGAAAAAATATATAAGAACGAAATAACTGATTTGAAGCAGCAACTTAGTCGCAGGTAAATCTATGTATCAATTTTTAAGCACATATTTTTATTTACTTTTTTCATGTTTTTATGTATTAAGAATATTTTATGATTATTCCAGATACATGGCAATAAAAGCTCAGGAGAAGAAGACATCGCAACGTGAAATGCAGCTTGAGCGCAAAGTAACAACTTTAGAAGAAGAGTTGCATAAAACAAAAACTCAATTAGATCGTGAAAATTTGGCACAAGAAGCTAAAAGGGCTAAGGTACATTATTATTATTAAATACTGCTATTTTATGTTATATAGTATTTAATACATTCCTCTTTTAGACCGCAGAAGAACTTTTATTGTGGGAGAAACAGAAAAAATGGCAGCAAACGGCAGAAAAATTAAAGGAAAAGCTTAAAGAAAAGACTGATGAATATGAAAAATTGCTTGCAAATTATGAAAAGCTGCGATCTGTTGTTTCGTGTATGGAACGAGAAAAATGGCATTTGAGAAGTAAACTCAAAGTTGAAAGCGATACTGCATCAGGAAGACTCATTTCAAATATTCAGTATAACACAGTGGAAGAACAATTGGAGAAAGAATGTCGAATATTGAGAGAACGTGTTAAAGAATTAACTGATCGCCTAGAAAAAGAAAGCAATGAACATTTGATGTTAGAAATAGCAGAATTAAAACGGCATAATACAGCTTTGGAGGCAGTTTCTCAGGTTAGCATTTTCATTATGCTTTATTTTTACTGTGAATGCACGATTTTCATCATGTTTTATTCAATGCTATTTTATAGGGTAATTCAAATGTAATTAGTCAGCTTGAAAAGCTAGAAATGACTAAAGATGTTCTTGAAAAAATGAATCTTAAGTTAGAAAGTGAAAACTTTGAGTTACGACTTGAGTTAAAAAGAGCGAATTCAGATACTCCGGGATTGCGAGAAAAAGTCGAACATTTAGAAAAGTATGTTCATATTGTTTATTTTTATATGTTGTGAAAATAGATTGAAATAAACAGTTAATATTATTGTATTATTATTATTGCAGATATATCCAATTGTTAAAAGCAGAAAAATCTTCTGATTCCACTCCTAGATCATCAGAAAAAGAACTGCCAGAATCAAACAAAAAATCTATCTTTGAAATGGAAAAAACAATATTCACATTGAAGCGAATTATCGAGAAACTTCAGGCAGAAAATAAAAGATTGAAATTTAATTCCAAGAAAACTCATCTTCTAGTTAATAAAGTAAATTGTACAATCCCTTCTTTGATATTATATATTATCTTTCTTTTTTTTATATTATATATGTTATTAAATATAGGGAAAAACAAATATTATTGAAGGAAACACCCTATTCCAAAGACAATATGAAGAATCTCAGAAACGTGTGATAAGTTTAGAAGCAGATTTACGATTAGCTGAACAAAGAGTAACTATGTTAGAAAGTGCTCATAAGGAAGATGATAATGGAGATTTCCGAATCTTAAAACAACAATTGATTCACAAATCTGAACTTTTAAATAAAGTAAAACAATTGTTGACAAAGGCTGCTATAAATGAGAAAACTCTGCGGCAGCGTGTAAGAATTTAAATAGTTATTTCATTATTTAAAAGATAAAATAATTCGGAAAATCATTCACATTTTAATCTTGTCATTGTTATACTTTTGTTAGGTGCAACAGCTAGAGTCGAAGCAAACTCTATCAGTAATACCAGAATGTTATGTGACTCCATCTACACCGCAATAATGAATATTTTGGCGATTTTAAATAAGCTGGATTTGCAATGAAAAAAAAAAACACTTTTATTGAGGTATAGGTACACATATTTTTATTTATATTCTTTCAATTAAACATGTTTGTGAAGCCTTGTCTTCATTTTCATATAATTATGTTTTTTTTTATAATTAGTAATTTTATAATAATTTCATGTCACACATACGATAATTACATCAATTTTTGTACGTGCAGGTGCACGATTTTCATCACAAATATTGATACAATATGGTGTTCAAGAAGTATTATTATCTCTTTTACATGTTCTCTTGATCAATAATAAAATGTTTTTATCGATATCCTTACTTATTCCGTATTTCTTATACATATAACAAAAAGTAAATTATTATAAAATTGTTACAACTATTAAATGTAAATTTAGTTTTGTTGACCACAAGACGATTTGAATGATTAGATTGATTTTATATATTAGGTGTTGGAATTAATTCGTAGCGTTTTAAAATGTATATATATATATATATATATGTTTTTTTTTCTGTTTTTACCTTCAGTCTGTTACTTTATGATATTGTCTAATAAATATAATTCAAAATATAAATAATTTAAACACTTACAATATTTAATATAAGTGATAAAGTAACGTATAAAATTTTGAAATTTTCTGTCGAACAAATATAAAATGGATTAGTGTAATTAATTTACTTCGATTATTTTTATAAGTCTATTCAAAAAAATATATCAAAATCTTTAATCTATTACTAATAATTATTATGAAATAGCGCGATATAAATAAAATATTTTCAATATTGAAGATACATGTATATAAACGAATTAGTATAAAATTATTCATTACTTTTATCTATTCTAACATATACATTCTAACATATATTAAAATATTTGAATGTTATTTTAATTTTAAATTACTACGTGAAGTAAACGCTACATTGGTAAGCTACTATTACAGATGAGTCAAGATTTCGAGAATTGAAGCATTTCTTTAGATTTTGTTATCAGTTATGAAACGTGTCGCGGTGATCGCAGCATCGCACTTCGATCGCTCTATGATTTCTATTTGATTGTTATCGTTATATATGCGAAAAGTTATCGTAAATATTTTCTACAGAGCGTCGAACGATGTCATAATGTCATTCTGTTTATTATATTATTGTTGTGATTTCGATATGTACCAGCGATCCGCTTCTGTGCGTACGAAGATCAACGGAAAAATTGAAGAGAGAACTAAAGTAAAGCGAGATGCTTGACTTTCTCAATTGAAGCTGAAATATCGCCAGGTATATATGTGTCTTTATCTTTATATATTGTTAATTAATTAATTACGCCAATTCTTTTTGCGATAATCTCGACTATTTCCCATTTACTGAAATATCTCAAACTTTTTTAATCATTATGACTCAAAACGGAATTCGGTCATTTTTTTAATGAATATGATTTGTTGTTCATACATGTACGCACTCGTACATATTTGTGCATAAATTAAAATATCCCAATTTATTTATGACAATAAATATTTAAAGCCCGATTGCGCAATGTTATTTTGACTTTAAGCGAGAATTAAAACTCTCACTTTTTCTCTTTAAAGCCGAAAAAGAGATGGTTTTAAGCTTCGTTTAAAGTTAAAGTAAAGAAGCATTTATATTGATATGGTAATCGTATGCCGAATTGCCTAATCACAATTAAATATGAAATCACAATTGAAAAATAATCAGTTATGATTGGTTAATTTCACACGGTTTACGGCTTTAAAGTCTATTCTACAAAGTGTTCTTTGTTTCTTTTTACTTTTGCTTTTTTCTCCTTTGCAATCGTTTTATCAATTGTATTTTTTGCTATGTATTTCTTGTTTCTTTCGAAGTTCGTTAACTGTTATCTCGAGTGATATAAAACAAAAAACCAGATAAGAAAAAGACAAGATGTAAAGAATAACAAAAGGCAAAAAACAGGAAATGAAAAGTACATTGTAGAACAGGCTTAATGCTCCTTTAGGTTGGCGCAACTGGGCGTAAATACTACCTACTTCGTTTGCAGTCTCGAACATTTTCGATACTTCGATAATCGAATGTCGCTTCCTTCTTCGTTGATTTCAAATTGCGATTCGCGTCGTTCTCGACAAGTAGCGCCACTCGCGCCTCGCGGGAAATGTAACGTAAAGATGGCGGAGTTGTGTTCAAATTATCCTGTATGATCCTGTATTTTCCGCGATCGTTACCTAAAAGAGAATCGTTTCGGTCTAAAAGAAATCTCGCGTGCGAAAAGTTATCACCAATGTTAAACTTTCGAATGTTTCTCGAAACGAATTAAACATTACCGCTCTGCTGTCGCCTCGATTTCGGTTTCGACGATTCGCTTCTACAATACTCTGCACACCTAGAATAGATCGAGACTCGTGTGAAATATACATATTTCATGCTGTCAGCTATTGTTTGTTCGTCGAAATAGCGTAACGAAAGCGTATTCATACATGATTGTTGTCACTCAGGTATGTTATTCTATAATCAACTATATACGTTATATTTCTTGCATTCTTGTTACTTTGTATCAAAGATAATGTTCTCGAAGTTCTCGCAGTTATAAAAGAATTTTTTAGGTTTGAATAAGCATGCTGTGCAAAAGGTAAATCTATGCTTCTACGAGTATAAATCATATAATTTCTTATATTATGACATCAATGTGATATCAATTCGTACATAATTTTTCGTACTTATTTTTTTATGTTTCTGTCAAGTTTGTTAAATAATAGCGCAATTATCTCACGATAATTTTGATTAATATAATTTACATTAAATTATATATTAATCAACACAACATAGTTCTCCAAATATCCGAAGGACGTCCCGGGTATGTATTATAGAATTATTTGAAACGAATTCCAATCAGAATTATTCAATTATTATGTTTTATAGAGAAAATGGAATAATTCCGATTGGAATCCATTTCACATAATTTCATAATATGTGCCCTGAGGACTTACATCCTGAAGACATTCTCAGCACTTCTCAGAATTTCTCAGAGAACTATACTGTGTGAGATTTGACTAAATTTGAGCCTATAAACGTATGCTATTTTAACATTACCGATGATCGTTATATAAATTTTCTAATTATCACTCATGATTTCATCATTTAATTTTCCGCACAACTTTCCAAGCAAAATTGCCAACCAATTTTTTTAATTTGAATATATTTTTGAGACATTAAATCATGTAGCGATGTATTTTACGTACTAAATCTGATGTTTGAAGCAAAATATATTCATATCTAATATAAATATCTTTATTTAATATCCGGATTTTGTTGGACGCACATTATTTGGTAAAATACATGCTGGATTTCGTTAGCTGTAATGTGTTATGTTTCTTTAATTGCACAGCAGCTGTTAATGTGCATTAATCCAGCTGAGATTTATAAATATATACATTGATAAAAATATCTCTTATAAAGCTTATAAAGCTCAATGTATCAATTTTTAGATTTTTAAGTTAATTTATGATGTTTCTAAGTAATAGTAATAAAATATGCAAGACTATTGTGTATTATATAACATAATTGTGCAAACTTTATAAAATGTTTCGATTAAATGCTCTTTTATAAAGTAAATACTTCATTTACTTTATAATACCATAACAATTGTTTAAAAATGAGAAAAACAAATATATTACAATAGTAAAAGATTTATAAAATTAAAAGCTTAAAATTTTAACAATATTCAATATGTTTTATGATAATGGATTAAATATTTAAAATTAATTAATTGATATATTTATAGAAACATATCGATTATCAATTTTAGTAGTTTGCAATGTTGAAAAATCTGTTCAAAATTTTAAAAAATATCTTGTTTATTTTAAAATCATTAATATTTTCATACTTTCGAATTATATTCGATCACAGTAGCATGCCTTCACAACTTTTGTGATGAAGATTGTAAATCTGCACACGTATTATCGGTTATGATATATCTATTCTAATATATGCTAAAAATAATATAAATTAAAATAATTTACGTCAAAATTCGCATTCCTATGGTATACAATTTGCGCAGCTTAATATTATAACGCGAAGATAAAAATACTGGAGAAAGCGAGGAGTTCCTATCGATTCCGAGGATTAATAATCATACTCTGCTACTTGAAGAAAAGGACGAATGGAGTACTCGTCCTCGCAATCTGGAATGAGCTTTCCCTTATACTTCATGCAGAAGTCCGCGCATTTCTGTCCCATGAAATACACGCCGAACATCTTTCTGCATTGCGCGCAGTTTCGTATGCAAACACCTGTACAGAGCCAGTTTGTACAGACTAAAGTGATATATATGGTATTTCGGCAACGATTTTTATACGGTGACGTAATCGTAACATTGACATTTACTTACCAATATTTCGTTCGGCATTAGTAGATACCGTAAAGCAGAGAATGGCGAAAACCATGATAAGCAGTACCATTATTCGGTTTGATAAGCTTGGCATGACTGCAATAAATGTAAGCGTTACCTCTTTAACTGTGAAAGGATTAATAATTAAACATTGAATATACATTTAGCTGGAATTATTGATATATCGGCAATAAAAGCGAATACAATTTTCAGTGAATAAGGCGATTAAGGCTTCTGACAGAGACATTATTATTTATTGTGACATTATTATTTTGTGGAAATTAATATGGAAATATTCAATATTAATATGGAAATAGTAAATCTAATCTGCATGATATATTCCAATTGTTGTTAATATTAAATATTTTGTTGATATTAATAATATGACATGTCTCACAGCTAAAGAGATAAGCTTCCAAGATTTATTTGATTTATAATAGATAAACAAATTTTTACATCCTGTAGAAATATCGTTCTTTAAATTTGCATTAGATTATGTAAAATTGCTTATATTATATGAAAACTTGTACAGATATAAAAATATGTCAGTGTTACACAGAGTCAACTAATAGAAGAGAAAGTAACTGTCTGAATATAAGTAATGTCTTACAACATTTATACGATGGGATATTAAAACTATATTATGAACAAGCTCTATTCGATCTGTCTTATATCAGCTAAATTAATAATCTTTAATTTAAAATCTGATCTATAATCTAAGATTTGATAATTAATAATATGATTGAAAGATCTTTAGTTAATGATTTAAATCATGTATTACTGCTGCGAATTCCGTATATAGTGTTTTCGAGAGATATGATAAAACAAATCTAATATATATTAAATGCTAATCTATTACTTTCTCTCTCCCCCTCTCTCTCACTAATACTTCACATTATCTCTTCTTCTTGGCCTTAGGGAAACAATAAAGTATCTATTTTATCTCCAATTCTTTTTGAAATGCTGTAATTTGATTAAGGCTTGTAAAGATCAAAGGAAAAATAACTCATCGATCAAGGAAGCTTCGGCGAAAGGCGGAAGAACGAGAGTAGAAGTTGGGGAGTTTTCTATCCGTTATTGCCCATTTGCATTTACTTTACTAAGAAAAATATTTCGAAGAGTGTATTCAAAGATGCGAAAAACGTTCTCTTCTCCATTCATACACCGTTTTGCATTTCCAGTTTGCAATTAGTGTTCGGAAGGAAGGACAGAGAGGGAGATGACCGTAGTCGATAAACTTTCAGGGATAACTCGGGTGTTAATAATTTCTCTCTCTCTCTCTCTCTCTCTCTCTCTCTCTCTCTCTCTCTCTCGTTCTTTTTTCTTCTTAGCTGATAAAAGAATAAAAAACCTATTAAGCATGCGTATTAATATTATACACGATGTGCGATATGTTTTAGACTAGAGACCGTGAGACTCTCGTGAGGCCGCGTATCGTCGGCATGTGAAAATCCTGCGTTGATCAGACAGTGTTATGGCGCAATTATTCCTTTAATCACACGGAAACAATGTGCAGACGTGCTGTCTGCTGCAATACGTCATCGTGACGCCACCGAAGGTTCCTCACCAGTTTTTTCTTCATGTCTCGTGTCTCGAGAGAGCAGCGTGTCGTCGCCACTTTTTAATATATACGGTCATTTATAACCGGAATCTCTTCATCGTGCTTCCGCGTTCGCCTTAACGGCCACATTGTGAACGCATAAACATAATAAATATGGATGGAAGGTATCTTGGCTTTCCGTGATGTTGTCAGCCTCCCTCTCTCTTGATCTCTCTCTCTCTCTCTCTCTCTCTCTCTCTCTCTCTCTCTCTCTCTCTCTCCCCCTCTCTTTCTTACCAGGAAGCACTTGAGGATTCAAGACCAAGGATCGCGTGGACAGCGTTTGATATCGTTAATGTACGTTACGCGAACAATAATATTGACTGATTGGAGCAACCAATCGACCGACGCGGATCTCTTTAGCATGTGAAAAACGGATTGATAGATTTTGACAAAAAGCATTTTCTTATCACTCGTGCGAAAAAGAAGAGATAAATTTTTAAAAAATAAACGATACTTAAGAATATGATTTTCAAACCTTTACCTGATCAGTACGGCAGCTTGAGAAGGTGAAACTGTTGGAATTGTTGCGGATATATAAAACCAACGAATGACACTGAATGGTCTTCGCCGGTCTTATATATCCGCAAACGCCGGATTCAACCCTCGCACTAGGGAAACCCCCGCTGCTTATCTTCCTTTAATTTGATCTCTTTAATTTCCTGCACTCAACTGTAATGTCTTATGCGTTTTTATGGAAGAAATGCATGTTTCTATATGTTACTATTAGCTTTTGCATTTAAAAGTACTGTTAAATGTGATATATTTTGTGTTGCTCTACATACATTTTTATTTATAACTTATATGATCCATCGTGATTCTAATATAAAATTTTGTGACATATGCTATAGAATTTCTTTAGGAGGTATCGTATGTATTATAAACTAATTTTCTTATTTTATCTTTTTATTTTACCTTTTCAAATTATTTTTTACATTAATTTTTTTTATTGTAGTTTTTATTCGAATAAATACTGTATACCTTTACATTTTTTTTAGGTATACTTATAATATTGTTGCATTTTTATATTATTATGTTACTTATTTTTATATTTTTAATTTATTTAAATTAAAACACAAATTGAAAGTATTATTACGGAATGTATTACTTATTTTTCATAATGCATCACAATAATGTATAATATTTATTACAGGTAATAGTAAATTAGATACTGTCATGTAGCAATTATTGTAGTTTAATTATAATAACATTATTATAATTAATTGTTTATTCTATTCAACGACAAACATGTAATAACAAGAATATAAGTTTAACATGATTTAATGTAATTTATATACAGCCTTGGCCAAAAATATTAGGTATCTTGTTAATTATTATTTAAAGTTTTAGCTTAAAAATTAATGTCTTAAGCTTCTTCTTTTGAAGCTTCTGTTTCTTGTTCATTGTCTTTGTTTCTTTTACGAGGCGATTCGTATTCCAAACTCCAAAAGTTGTTATATTTAATCGGTATTGCTTCACCTTTTTCAATCATTTTATTGAGATTTTCATCTAATCTCGAGAAACGATCCTTCTTTTCTAAAATTTTCGACAACGTTTTATGAATATCTTCTCTGTTTCTTGATTCCTCCTTTTGTCTGTCTTCTTCGGCTGTCGAGTTGTCTTGCAATTGGTGTAAAACATCCTTTGTAAAGTAACGAGACAAAAATTCTTTTTCCGCGTCAACTGTATCAGATGATTCTTTATCGTTGTCTTTTTCGAAAATATTCTTAAAGAAATCTTTGTCATAGTAAGGATGAGGATCTTTATCAATTTCTTCGCTCTGTTTCTCTTCTTTCTTAGCATAGGAATCAGTGTCTTCTTCTTTACTGTTTACTTCATCTGTATCGTCGGAAGCAATTGATGAATTATGATCATCGTGATGATCTTCGTTCTTCACGAAATAATCTTGCGATTGTTCTTTTGGATCTGTGGCATACGTCTTGGTCTCTTCAAATTTCTCAGTACTATCAGAATCTTCGTTATGTTCTTCTGGATCTGTAGTATATGTTTCGATTTCTTTAGAGTTCTTGGTACGATCAGGATTTTCCTTATAATTATATTCCGATTCTTTATCGCTGTCATCCTTTCCGAAAATATGTTTAAAGAAATCTTTATCATCATAAGGATAATGATCCTTATCGACTATTTCACTTTCTTTTGCTTCTTTTTTCTCGTAAGAATCAGTTTCGTCTTTTGTCTTGTCTTTATCATTAAAAGTGTCATCATGGAAATCATCGTTCTTCGTGAAATAATTATACGATTGTTCTTTTGGATCCGTTTCGACGGAATCCTCTTCAGATGTTTCGGTGCTATCAGGATATTCCTTATGATCGTATTTCTTGCTAAAGATAGCTCGTATGCTTTCCAATATAGGATCGTTTTTAAGGAACTCGTCCCAATTGATCGGTTTTTTATATTCATCAAAGTCAACGAAATCTGAATTTTCATTTTCCTCTTCTGCGGAATGATGAATGTCGTCGGTAACATTCTCGGTATTATTGCGCAACTTGGTGTCTTCGACATCGTAATTGTCAATGCATTCAGCAGAATCTTTATTTTCCGTACAACTTGGACGCGAGTTATTTGCGTTCAATGAGGTTTCCAGTCCATCACTTTCAGTCTGTATTACCTTAATCTTAGCACTTGGGGATTTTGAAGAGAAATCATCAGCGTCGTGAAGCTGTTTAGGAATATAATCGTAATCGCTATCATCATATTCGTTGTATCTCACTGGAGTTGTACTCTGATTGTTTTTATCTAAACTCTTCTCCTGTTGATCGGAGTAATCTGGTACTTCTACATAGGGTATATTTGAAGGATCATAATTCGAAATTGTGCCTGTCGAATTTTTCACGCGTTCCACTTGATCCTTTTCTTGCAAGGGTTTCTCGACAGCACTCTCGGTTGGCAAGAATGATGATGTAGTGAAACTCTCTTCAGAAGAATATGGCGGGCCTGGTTCGGAAATAATTTCCTGTGATGAATTACGCATTTCATTGGTGTATTCCGTCGAATTATCTAAAGACGAATAATCAACACTTTCAACTTTATCGGGAAATTTATTCAAATCGTCTACTTCAGATGCGCTGGGTACAAGTGATGATAAAATCGGATTATTATTTAATTTTGCTAGGTCCACAACTGGAATTTGGTTAGGTTGCCATTGGATTTTATTTGCAATGTTCCAAAAGCCCGATATATAAGGACCAGAATCAGATATTTCTGGCACATTTATATCCGTAATATTGAGTATTTTATCATTCGTCGCTTGTACCTGTTTATCTTCTTTGTAATTGACCGTTTCTTCTTTGATGCACGGAAATGAAGCCGCATTACTTTCCGGAATACTCGCATTTCGTTTAGAACGAGCCTTTTCGTTTCTGATTGATTGAGTTGCGTTGATTATATCCCAGATGCGTTTATAAAAATCACGTTCTGGTTTAATGTTGGCATTCGTTACTTGTGACTTATCTTCCTGTGATTGCGAGGTTGTAATTCGGTCTTTATCAGTGCATGTTGAATTATCTGAATTATTTTCTAAGGAATTGTAACCACTGATAATATCGGTATGAGGACGAGTACCGTTAATGTATTCCCAAATACGTTTGTAAAACACAGTACTTGGTATCCCTACATTATTCGCTGTTTTAAGATCAGTTGTATTTTTGTTTCGTTGCGGTTTTTTCGTTGAAAGAGTTCTTTTTCGTTGTTTTCGATAATTGGGATTTGGATGACGAGATTTTTTATTTGAAATGATAGTTTTTTCCCGTTGAACATCCTGCGAATTATTTCCCGATTTGTAAGACGAACGTTTTGAACGTTTGTTCCCAATTATTTTCTGAATACTTTTTGCTGCTTTTAACATTTGCGCACTATTTTGTCGTTTCTGTCGAATGGCTTCGACAACTGTTGTAATCTTGATGATTTCCATATCAGGATCAGATAAATCTACATTTTTATTTTGATTATTCATGAGATGGAATGTCGGTGACATAATTTTTTCATTTAGAATTTTTTCTTGCTGCTGAAGTAGTTTCTGAGGCATTTTTAAGCGTTGAGTGTATTTTTTCCATCCAACAGAATATGGATATATCCATGAAGGTTTGCTCAACTTCTTTTCTGAACTGATTGCTGTATTTTTTCCCATGGATTTTAATTTACGATTGAGTTTGTTGATATATGCATGCTGTAATGTGGGTTTAATCTCAGATGCAGCTTGCGTAGATTTTATTATGGTATCCTGGAAATAATCAATTAACAGATATTATAAATAAATATTATAACATTACATTGAATTGCTGATCAAAGGTTATTTAAAATAATATAATTTTAATATTATTATAAAAAGCAAATATTCTAGCATCATAGTAATATAATTATTCTGTACACAATAATCGTATTATTATTCTATAAAATAATTAGCAAAATATCATATTAAAAATTTAGGGAGCTACTTAATAGAAAGATGTACTTACATTTATATTTTGTGAAAACGGTGAGGAATAAATGATTATATTATGTGGTTCCATCTTGGACATTAAATGTGCCCGTGCATTATATGTATACTACCGTGTAAATTGTGCCATTATACATATTTTACAGTTTATAATGAAACTAATTTCAACAAATTGTTAAATGTGCAATACTCTATGATACGTTATGAGCTTCTCTATCACGTGTAATTTCTGCTAGGCAGATTAAGAGTTAAGTAATACATATAAATAAAAACTTATCAAATAGCTTCTTATGAAATTGACTTTTATTTGTAATTATGTACAAAAAGTACAATATAAATGGTAACTGTCATCATAATAGCGCAGAAAATATGTTTTGATTGTAAATTTATTTAACAAATGAGGAGTAAAAGATATCAACTCCGTACAAATTTCTGAGCCACTACGTATGAATATTTACATTTTGCTTATTACAATAATAATGCTTGAAGCAATAATCATCGTACAAAAATATATCATATTTTATTAATATTTCTATGTAATTCCACTGTCGTGGAATTGTCAGTACTCTTGACTAATAAATATTAGATTTTATTCCACTTTAATTAAGCAAACGTACATGTGCTCTCATACTTAATAACATTGCATTAACGCATTAAAAAAAAAACTGTCATTCTTAAGAAACTTTCACGCAGTGAATCACATATGTTAAAATTACTACTACCAAGTGTAGTCTGCAATAATAAAAAAATAATGTGTGATCATCAATATAAACACAGTTTCCTGATAGAAATCTAATACTGGCCAATTAAATTGAAAGACAGTAATTAATTATTTATTTGGAATACTAAAAGCACTGAACAATAGTATCAATACTTAAAATAAATAATTAATTATTTGCTTTCAATATTAAGTTGCTTAATATTGCATTTCTGTAAGGATTATTGTTGTTGAGATAGATATTCCACGCGAAACGTTACTTCAATTTTCATATTACACTTTATAAAAGAGTATTCTGTATTGTAAACGAGTACTCTATATAACAATCATTTTATTATAGACAGAGATATCTAAATTATTA